TCTTATTTTCGGGGAAACAGGGTAGTCACTGAACAGCTGGCCTAAAAACACAGCAACTGCTTTTGGAAATACCCTTCACACACAGAAAAATTTAAAACAGGATTTTAGCCTTCATTTTTAAGTGGAACCATAAATACAGGGCTCATTGATTATTGAAATAACCTGGTCGTCTCTTGCTTTGACTACTCTCCACTCCTCCCTTCTCAGTTTTCACTGTCACACTTTGGCCCCTTCACCTCTCCTGCCCCAGCATTGCAACTATTTTTAAACCTCTGTGCAAGGCCTCCTTTCCTCCTCCCTTCAAACCAAACGTCAGAAAGAATACCCCATCCCATCAAGTTTTTGCAGGAGTGGGCAACTGTGGCCCTCCAGCTGTTTTGAGCTACTAAATCCCCAGGCTAGCCTAGCCTATCGTGAGGCAGCGTGGGAGCTGCAGTTTGAAATCATTGGTGTGCAAAAACATTGGTCAACATTAGGTTGACTTCTTGGTCAACCCACCCCTCCACTTCACTCCCTCCTCTGTTTCCCCTTCCTTCAAACTTTATATGGCAAGCTCCTCAGGGCAAGAACCTCTTACTGCTACCACATCATTGCCAGTAACAGTAATAGCTGAATTCATCATCATCACACTCCATGCAGCTGCAGGTGAGTCTGCTCTCTTCCAGATGCCCTTCCTGTGGTGGCCACTAGGGGGAGAAGCAGGAGCAGTTGGGTGTCCATCCAGTTTCGATCTCTCTCTGGTTGAGCCTCCATTGAAGGAGAGGAAGCCACAGCGGCTTCATTCCCTACCTGATGAAATTGGTAACTCAAAACCTGAGCCCGAATCACCCTTTTCTTCCTCCTTCCCCGTTCCTTTTTTTGTATTTTGTGTTTAGTACTGCCAGCTTGTGACCAGGAATTGCTTTCCAACTGGTACTTGTAAACTGCCATGGAGTGGTTTGTCTAGCTAAAGACGGGGGTTCAAATTTAGAAACCAATTGTTGTTATCATAGCGCCATTGGCAGCCGTATATAAAGCTTGCATTCTGCAGTTCTGGGATTACCTGTTCTTGAAATATGAAGCTGCTTCAAGCATGATACCAAGAGGTTCAAACGCCCTGAGCCCATGGTTCTGATCCGCTTCCACAAGGTATTGGCTTGTACTGTGCTAAGCCAGGGATTCCCAACCTTGGTGTCCCCAGATGTTCTCAGACTACAACTCCCAGGAGCCTTTTCCGCTAAGCTGTGCTGGCCAAGATTTCTGGGAGTTGTAGTGCAAGTTGTAGCCCAAGGTTGGGAACCACAATGCTGAATTACTGGAGTTGTTATCAAAAGGAGTGCTAGTCTCAGCCTACGGTAGAGAGTACGTAACTCTCCTTGGAGCAAAACACGCACCCTCTCAAGATTCAAATCTTGGGTGGTTTGGGCACCGTGACTGGCCTCTCAACCTCTGTTCACATCCAGCGTCTCCGTGAAGATAACTGAAAACTTCAACAAAGGGAAGCCTTTCAACAGGCTTCAAGATTTTGCCAACAGCTATTTCTTTCAGAAAACATGTACTAGGTGGGTTGGCAATTCCCCCCTTCAAAAAAAGAGGTTGGTGGGGGGGAGGGGAGAAATCCTTCTTGTGTATCTGTAGATCAATAACCCAAGATGGAGGAGCCCAAAAGAAATGGGAAATTCCATTCTGGGTTTGCCAACCCGCCCAACGTCAACAGACCACCCGCAAGGGTTCCAAAAGTGTGACGTACCCTAATACAGACACCGTTCCTCCTCGACCATCTTGAAAACAAATTACCGTATTTTTCACTCCATAAGACGCACCAAATTTTTAGGAGAAGAAAACAGGAAAAAATAATCTGTTTTCTTCGCTCCATAAGACGCACAGACTTTCCACCTCCCTGTTTTGTGGAAAAAAAAGTGCATCTTATAGTGCGAAAAATACGGTACATTCCCATGTCTGACCTGGCAAGTAAGTGGCCGTGATGAGAAACCTATTACTCGAGGTTTCTGAGATGCTTGTGTCACACTTACCTCGTCTTCCTCAATAGTCTTGGTAGCAAGGAAGAAGCAGCTGATCGCAATGCAGTTCAGATACTTTGGACGGGCCTACAAGTTAGGAAAGAGAAAACGCTAAGAGGTGGTGTAACCCAGACACTGCCTTCTGAGCATAACTAAAAGCTTGGGAAAGTAACCTTTTTTTAAAGAAAACTACAACATGAGGAATCCACTGACCAGCCTGGCCTCTGGGGAGTTATATTCTAAAAAGTTTACTCTTCCATGGTTTTGTCCCTCACTTACACACAGAGTATCTGGATGCCGGTGTACTTTTTCTTAATAGGATGTTGCAGAAAGCCCAGCAGAGCGTGGTGGTGGTTAATATGCCAGTATGAAAAGGAAAGCTGAAATCTATCATAGCCATCAAATAATTGGCACCGCAGAAGCCAAAGTTCTGTTACAAAAGGCCAAATAGGTAAGGGCAACTGCATGAGCCGTTTTGACTTTGGTGGCCACCTGTCCCGTCTCTCTTGGGTGTGCATCCTCTTGTGCCACCTGGGCGTGTCGAGGTATACAACATGCTGCTAGCAAGATTGCACACACCACTTGTATGCTCTCCAGCTCATACTGTACAATATCAATAGGATGTTGGCCAAAACAAAAATATTAACTCACAACACAAGAAACCACCCTTGTTGGCTGGGCTCTCCGTTCTTTCCTGTCCACCTCATGTGCCACAAAGGATAAAGAAATGAATGGGCTAGCAGAAAAAAACTGCAGACTCCTTGGTAAGGCCACAGTGGCTGACACGAGAACGCAGGAATCTGCCACATGCCAAGTTGGGCTCTGCTGGTTGTAGGGAGCTGATCCAACGGTCACCCTGTCTTCCGGAAGGATCATCATCAGGATGATTAAGGAGCAGAGAGGAATTTGAAAAAGGCAGGAAACCACTTCCGGGGAGGGGGGGCTTGAGAAACGGGACAGAGTGGGGACGTGTCCAATGACAGGCCATTGTGATGTGTGGTTAAAGAGCTGGACGAGGACTAAGGAGCCTTGCCCAGGAAACTCCTTGGCCAGTCACTCACGGTCTAATGATGCTCCCTTGGGAGGTTGGTGTGAGGATAAACCAGAGGGGAGGGGAGTCATGGGTACCCACGTCCACCTCATTGGAGGAAACGGGCAACATAAATCTAAACAATAAATCAAAATAAAATCACAGAAAGGTCCTTTCTGTTCCCCCCACTTTTCAAGTATTCTGCTAGAACCATAGCTGAAAATCTAAGTGGAAGAAGAAAGCATTCATCCTAGCCACCTAACTCGGGTGATGCTTATTCAGTAAGCAGCTGTTTTCCAGAGTCTGTGGACACAAGGGAGGGCCTTCTGCGTGGTAGCTCCCAGGTTATGGGATGGTTTTCCTCAGGAGATCCGGCTGCCTCCCCCTTTGATCCTTCCACGGACAGCTGAAGACTCATCTCTTCAGACAAGGCTTTTAACAATCAGGACTGCATCCTAGGAATGCCTTCTTAAAATTAAGAGGGTTTTAAAGTTTACTTGCTTTTAATTATTCCACCGTTTTTTAAATAGTGTAGTGTTTAATTTTTTTTTAAAAAAAGGTTTCACTTATTATGTTTTTAATTCTATTCTATTTCATATTATGAGCCACCTTGGGTCCCTTATCGGGAGAAAGGCAGCTTATAAATAACAGGTGGATGGATGGGCCGACGGATGGACAGATCCCTTTCTGAGACCTTTTAACCGAAGGTGTTGGAAACCGAACACAAAGCCCCTTACATGGAAAGCATGTGCTGTCCCTCCCAGCTAGGGCATCTCCCCATCCCTTTGGGGGGCAGGATCAAGAAAGGGGGCCCACCCACTGAAGCATGGGGGAAATACCAGAAAACAGCTTCAGACCAGCAGATACAGGAAAAAAAGGAGCGGTGCCTCTAAAAGGTAAACACTGATGTTCAACGGCTTCTACTGGCTCAGGTCTATTTCCATTGGATGTTCAGCACTAATGGAAATTGCAGCGATGGAGGGAAAGGCTTGCAGAAACAATCTGAGGACCACAGCCATTTCGAGTAAGCAAAACCCGATCTTTAGCCCGATACCATCTGGAGATTAATTTCAGCCAGATGGCCAAATCTGAAATTGACAGCACACAGGGCTGGAAAAAAGCAACCAAGTTCCTTTCTGGGGACAATAATTTTTTTTGAAAGGCAGATTTCAGGGTCAAACAACTTCGAGAGGTTTGCATTTCTATTTGTGAAGAAACGAGGCAGAGAGAAAGAGAAAAGGAAAAACAAGACATTCCACGGGGGCTTTCACGGTTTGACATTATGAGAAGGTCCCCTAGTAGGGGAATCACAGAGGTTCATAAACTTATAGATGCTATTGAGAAAGCAAAGGGGGAAAATATTATTTTTTGCAGCCCCAGAAGCCAGGACCATCTCTCTGTTCAAATGGATTGGTGTCCGTTTCTGGATGAGCTGACAAAGGTTCAGCTTATCCAGGTCTTTACATCTGCCCTTCTCAGTGGGGGCAATAGGGCCCTCCGGGGGGGGGCTTGGTACATTTGAAGGGGATTGTGGATTGGAAAGAATTCTTCACACACCAGCTTATAAGGTTTGTTATACAAATGTGCCCTATATTTAATTCATATAGTGCTTATGGCTGTGCCCCCCCAAAAAAGATTAGGAATGGCTGCTTTACATAATACATAACGAATTTTCAGAATTCACCCAGGTACCAGAGATGGTGGTTGACTAGTTTTGTATTTTTAAAAGAATAAACGAATAGCAGATGGGTCAAACATGATCTAACGTGCTTCCTCTGTGGTACAAAGCCGTGTACAGAGAAAACATGTCCTCTTTTGTGGTGGTTGCTACTTCAATAGAGATGTCTGTCAAACACTTTTGCTGCTTCCTTTTGAGTGGTCTTTAAAGCCCCTTTGGGCAGATTTAAGCAAATCTATTCAAAATGACAGAACAGATCTTAAAACAATTCTTATATAGGAGCTGTGTTAGTTTGGTTTCAAAACATAGGTACCACTGAATGCTAGATACTGGAAACGAACCATTTGGAAGAGTACTTCTTTGCTGTCGGGCCTATAACAATCTGTGTGAAGAGCACACTGGTGTGTCTATTTAGTGCAATGTAATGCTGGACTTCATGGTCCTTATAATTACCTTTCTCACTATTCTTCTGTAAAGGTGCACTTTCAGGGAATGTGAGGCCATCACTGAAAAGGCCCTGCAGAACATTTACATCGAATGGCTTTTTTAAAGAAGCTCTCCCCTCTGCCTATCACAATGCTGGATACTTGGTTAGCATATTCAGAAATGTTACTCCTCTCACAATAGTTGCCTACGTGTACAACAGGAGTGACCAAAGGACGGCTAGACTACAACTCCCTAACCAGCACTGCCAATGGGGAAGAATCCTGGGAGTTAACAGTCCAACAATACTTGGGAGGGCTGCATATTGTCCTGCTCTTGACTCTCAGTCTCAAATGATGTTATTCAATTTACTTTGCTTTAAGAGTCACCCCACCAAAAGCTAAGAGACATACTGACAACAGAATCTTAAGCATGTTTACGCCAAAGGAACCCCCACTGAGTTCAGTAGGGCTTACTCTAGGAAAAGTAGACACAGGATTGCAACCTCACATTCCTGCTTCAATGTTTTATTCACTCTGGCAAGCAACGAACGGATTTTCCTCTCGCCTCCCAAGCCCAGCATTTCAAGATTCGAACAAGGTCAATAGAGGACACACAGCAAGAACACAGTGGCTTTTAAAGAGGCAAGGAACATGTTCTTCTAGGCAGGCATCAATTTTTAAAAACAAATTAAACCCATTTCCTGAAAGTAGAAACCGAAATTATCAAATTGTTTCTGGATCCTATTCTAAACAGCTGGCTAATTCATTGAATCATACCAAGTCGGAAAGTTCCATTAGCTCAAACTTCGATCAAGCTGCGCGCCACCAGGAATACAACATTTACCATTCTATTGAAAAAAACCCAAACAACAATACCTTTGAAAATAGACTTTTACACTGTAACATTAACTCTCTCACACATATCTGTTCCTCCATGTCTTGTTGCAGAATTCACACCAAACTCAACAGTTGTAAACAATGTCTCCAAATTTGCACTGTAAAACCCATATGTGTGAGTCACGAGGTACATAAAGAATTGTCATGCTATTTTCCATGCACAGCGAGTCCTAGAAACCGATGGGATATTCTGTTTCCTGGGAAGCTGGCGCCATTCATGGCGATGGGAGAGCAGAGGACACAGTGAAATTCTCACTGGACTCAGGAAATACAGGACACTAAATCAAACTCTTCTGTTAACCATTACTGTAACCCTACTTTTTAATATTTTACTGTGAGCTTTCATGGACGACTCCAAAATAATCCACTTTCTCAGGGTGGATTATTTGTTCTTAGAGCAGGGGAGTTTTTTAAAATTCCCTCCAAATTTTAGTATGATTTATTATTTGCCATCAGGGGCTACTTCTGTTTCAGAAATGCAACTCCAGAGCCCAGGTAGTGTAAGGACAGGCACTAAGACAATGCTGGAGAGACCTCTCGTTTGCCTACCAAGCAGGCTAAGGAATGGTGGAGGACAAGTCCCTGGTTCATATATCTGGCAAGAGAAGAAGATTTTGTGTCCTGCTTAAAAGCAAAATCCAGGAAAGTGGCTTTTTCCTGCATATTTCAGCTGGGCCAATAAATCCTTCGCAAGCCTCAGGCGGTCAAATATTTACCTTCACTGCCGCTAAAAACCTGTCCAGGAGATTGACGGCCAAGGCAAGTGTTTCTGGATAAAGGTGGAACTGGCACTTGAGTTTGGCCAACCACCGGATCACTTCGTCCCGCTGGGCTGGAGAAATGCCTACATCCTGTGGAGGAAAAATGCAAAAGAGTTGGTTGGGGAGAGCAGAACCAAACGTAAACGCCAGATGGCTTTCCAACCATGCCCACCCCTTCCACCCGCCCACATGGAAAAGCACAACGAAGTGCACAGAATTTCAAGGAAGCCAAAGGACAACTTTGGACTGTGCATATACTCTCATATGGGAAGAACGCCCAAGGAAGAATGAGCATGCAACCACTGTAGAGATGCTCATTAGAGACGGTCACACGTATTTATTTCATTCATGCATATACTGCCTACTAAATATTTTTTTCTCAAGATGCCTTAAACCACATTTAAAATGAAATAAAACAGACTTCATTTTTCCAGTAGTCACTTTCCACAGCAACAATGCCATGAGCCACGGCCTTTTCAAGCTCTCCTGATTTGTAGCCTAAAATGTGTACTGATTCTCAGAGCTCAGGGGGGGAAAAACTTTCCTGGACTACAACTCCCATAATCCCCCAGCCAGTAGGGCCAGTTCCTGGACTACAACTCCCATAATCCCCCATCCATCAGAGCCAAAATCCTCTTGCCAATATGGAGGAGGAGTCTGGGAAGCAGAGCTTAGAAAGGCAATTTTTCAAAGCCCCCGTTGCCATAATATCGTCCAGGTTGCATTCAGCTTCATATGGGCTGCGAAAAAAGACACGTCATCCTAACTGGCATGTCAACTGCCACTTACTTTGCTGGGTACACCTGTAACAGAAAGAGGCAACCAGAGACTATATACTGGCATGTACAGTGTACAAGTTTTACACATGACAGATGGTAGAGAAGCTGCATGCTAGTCCTTAAAAGCAGTACTTTTTGTACACGGGTTTTGCAATGTTTCGCTGAAACAGGAGTTCGTTGTGAAGACAGTGCCCTTTCAGCTACTAAGAGGCCACGGGCATATCTGCACCATAGTAAAAATGGTATAAAAACTGGCAATATCAGTGTGATTTAACTATAGCACAGATGAACATAATGCCACTGGACCCAACAGGGCAGTCAGCCTTACTCTGCCCCAGTGATTTTAACTGGGAGGATGTTAAACACAGACGCAACTCTCCAGTGGAGGCCAACAAATTTGAATTTGCTTTGCTTTTGCATGGACCCAATACATTTCTATAGCATGGATGGAGAAGCTTCAGCAAGCCATAGCCTGTTTTTTTTCAGCCTCAGGACTCTCCGGGCCAGTGGTTCCCAAATTTGGCTCCCTGGAATTGCAGTCCAAAACTCCTGAGTAACAAAAGGTTAAGAACCAGTGGTAGATGGAGAAGCTTCAGCAAGCCAGAGCCTGCTTTTTTTCAGCCTCAGGACTCTCCGGGGCAGTGGTCCCCAAATCTGGCTCCCTAAGATGATCTTGAACTAAAACTCCCAGAAGCCTTCATCACTAGTTGTGTTGGCCAAGAAGACTTCTGGGAGTTGTAGTCCAAGAACATCTGGGGACCCAAGGTTGAGAATCGCTGCCCCAGAGCTGTACTAAATGAAACAGGAAGTGAGTCAAAACGAAGTAAAAACTTGTGTCAAAGCTAAATGAAAACAAATCTTGCGGTTAGGCAAAAAAAAAAACTTGGAGGGGGGGTTAAGCACAGTATGAGAGGAACATCTTGTATTAGAGAAAAACTATGCCCCCAAGGCGTGACTCTCCTATTTGAAAATAAAAACCCAAAACGTTTTTCTAGGGGTCAGGAAGTGCTAAAAAAAACTGGCCTCAGGCCACACGATTCCCATCCCATTATAGCATTTTTCCCTTATCCAACTGTGTTTCCACAGAAAAAGAAGGGCAGTTGCTCTCAAATAATCCTGTTTAATGGAATGGTATTCAGCCGGCTCAAATGTAATTCAGTCAGCTTGGAAAAAGAAACTCTGGTCCTGTAAAGGCCAATTAATGACAGACGAGGGAGCCTCCTCTATGTATTTTATTTGATGCTGAAGGCCATGCCCCCCAGGTTGTATTTACTTTGCTCAAAAACATCCATTCCTGCTCTTCATCTGGGGTAATCAGAGACTTTCCCTTCTGAGGAGAGAGCTGGCTGCAGTCACGAAGCACAGCCATTAGCAGGAACAGCAGCAAAGCAGCAGGTAATTTATATATTGTTGGGCTCTTCTATGAAGGAACAACTGTTCTTGCTACGAAAGTAGTATTTTGGCACAGCTCTTAAAGAACTCCTTGTCCAAGTGCACAATGCTCTTTGGAGGGATCTCCAGCATCTCAATAGCCTCCTCTATATCAGGTACAGTTTAGTTTCCATCTCTTCTTACTACCATTCCTCAAAGTCAACGCCTTACTGAGGGCGCAACTACAATGGAAAGTCGAATTGCTTTGCTGAGATTTGATTCGCAGCCTGTATTGCATCTGAAATCGCAAGTCAGTGCTTACTGGGTTCATATTCGAATTTCAGCTCACAGCCCCCTGCTTCTAGTTCCACCTCAGTCAATCTTTTTATGGGGTGTAAATATGGGAAATAATAATGAGGACCCAGCAATAAGGTCATGGGGTGTATCACAACTAACTTCATGGATAAAGCCCATTCAAATTGTTCCACCTAGAAACTCCCCCAGTTGCAGAGAGAGAGAAATTCTTTGGAAGCAAAAAGAGCTGGATCTATTTGAATTAGCCCTTAAGTCATATGGCCAGTAGAAAATACTGTGAATTAACCTGTTTTAGAGATGTAGCAAATCCTGTAGCATTTGACCACGTAGTCACACCTTAAGATAATTTGTTATAATACCCAAATAAATAATACCATTGCCTATTCACTCAGTCTCGAAAATTTCTTAATGGTTAACACTCTGTTATTGTACAGTGGTGCCTCGCTAGACAGTTACCCTGCATGACAGTTTTTTCGCTAGACACTGACTTTTTGCGATTGCTATAGCGATTCGCAAAACAGTGATTCCTATGGGGGAATTTCGCTGGACAATGTTTGGTCCCTGCTTCGCAAACCAATTTTCGCTAGACAATGATTTTGACAACTTCCTCCGCGCTCGCAAAACAGGTGTTTTGGGACCTAAGCTTCGCAAGACAGCTATTTAAACAGCTGATCGGCGGTTCACAAAGTGGCTTTCCTAAGGCCGATCTTCACTACACAACGACGATTCTTCCCCATTGGAATGCATTAAACAGGTTTCAATGCATTCCAATGGGGAAATGCTTTTTGCTAGACAATGATTTCGCTAAACAGCGATTTCAGTGGAATGGATTATCATTGTCTAGCGAGGCACCACTGTACTTAATGACTGGTACCTTCTTCATCATCATGTATTGCCCTGTTGACTCCAACCTATATGTTTTTCTATATATATAAAGGAGTCAAGTGATTTACTAGCCCTTCCTTTTCCTTCTGGTGGTGCTCTGGGATCTCAAGTAGCAGAGTATATCACCCATCAGCCAAAACATACACAAGAGATTTCGGCCAGCACTTCCTCTGGGAGGCACAGTGAGGAATAAACACTTCTGACACCTGGCTTCATGGCCAGGAACTCCAACCCGCTGAGCTATCTAGCCAGCTAATGACCTACATATATACAGTATATCACAGAAGTGAGTACACCCCCTCACATTTCACAGATATTTTAGTATATTTTTTCATGTGACAACACTGAAGAAATGACACTTGGCTACAATGTAAAGCAGTGAGCATTCAGTTTGTATAACAGTGTAAATGTGCTGTTCCCTCAAAATAACGGAACCCACAGCCATTGATGTCTAAACCGCTGGCAACAAAAGTGAGTACACTCCCTAAGTGACAATGTCCAAATTGGGCCCAAGTAGCTGTTCCCTCCCTCATCAATGGTTGTGTGATGCGTTATTTTGAAGGAACAGCACATTTACACTGTTATACAAGCTGTATACTCACTGCTTTACGTTGTAGCCAAGTGTCATTTCTTCAGTGTTGTCACATGAAAAAATATAATCTTCAGTTGGAGTGATGCTGTGGTTCCAGGATGACGAGACAACTCTTTTTGTCCAACTCTCTAATGGGTCATACTGTCAAACTGATCGTAAAAGACAAAAACACCTTCTAAAATGCAGTATTTTTTAAAAACCAGTGAAAACAGCAATGAAAAGCTGAAACAACCAGCAACAATGACAAACACCAGGTTGCCACCAAAAGATGACCTGTCCATTTCCTTTGGCTATCATGTGCCATTAAGGCAACCCTGGATAAAGGTGTCTTTTAGGGTCTGTTGTGAATTTTCAGTCAACTACCCTGAACCCTCAGAGGAAGAGCGAAACGCCTATGTTGTAAACAGGCAATGTTAGGTGACCTGTGTTATAATTAGATCACATAGTTAGAAAAATAAAATACTGGCTAGGATCCAAAGAGCTATTTCAGGTGTGTCAAAGGGCCTTGGCATGCCCCCCGAACTGTTGGCTTCTCTCCCTTGGAATGGCAGAATCCAACTCTCAACCAAGATGCAAACTGTTTTTTGTTTGTTTGTTTTTGGAGACACCTCCCAGCATCGAAACTGCTTTTGAAACATGGGAAATTGCTGTTCAAGTAATACAACTCAAGCACAAGTTTGATGCACAGAATCTGTGACGTCGTTCCTTGGACTCGGCCAATTACCATACATATTATGCTGGGATGGTGGAAAGCCATATATTCCTCTTGTCACGGTGAATGTGCTACCGCCTTCCGGAGGAGAGCAAAAGAGGATCCAGCCTCCCTCCTTACCTAGGGGGAGGCAGAAGGGAAGCGGAATTGGTTCCAACAGATTATCCCTTACATTCCATAATCTAAGACTTCACTCAAAAAGGAACCCCCATGTCTCTGTCAAAACTCGGGGGAATGGCACATTCAAAGACCAGGGGCCAACAGTGACAGTGGAGAAGAATCCTGGCCCCAGATATCACCACCGATGAGTTTGGCAGCCCCAGCACCCCTTAGCCTGTTCACCCTGATGCCCCTAAGCCTGAGACCTCCATGGCTGCCATGATACAGGCATTCCCTGGACTCGGATCGGCCAAAGGATGGCAGCTCTTCTCCAGAA